ACTTTAAAAAAAAAAAAATTTTTTATTCCCAAAAGAGAATTATTTTTTTAGAAGAGTTTTTGATTTTTCTTTAATAAAAAAATATATATTTGTATAATAAATTAAGCATGTTTCATATCTAAATTTTTTTTTACTTTTATTATACGTGATGAAAAAATAATTATATTTAAATTATTAAATCACAATTTTAAAAAGAAGTAACCATTCTGCGTTATTTTTTTTAACTTGATAATAAAATAACGAATATTTTGTATAAAGAACAATCAAAATTTAATCTGTAAAAATTGCATGCAAATGAGTTTTTATTTTTAATTTATTGATTTTTCGTTTTTCTTTTTTCTTTTACCGTTTCATTTTAGACCCAGTTCATAGCATTGGGCCATGTGAGTATTTAAAAATCTGCAATTTAGCGTTATTTTTTTTAACTTGATAATAAAATAACGAATATTTTGTATAAAGAACAATCAAAATTTAATCTGTAAAAATTGCATGCAAATGAGTTTTTATTTTTAATTTATTGATTTTTCGTTTTTCTTTTTTCTTTTACCGTTTCATTTTAGACCCAGTTCATAGCATTGGGCCATGTGAGTATTTAAAAATCTGCAATTTAATTTTTTTTTTTTTTTTTTAATGTCTTAACTGTTTTTCTGTTATCTAAATTATATTAACTTTATATCTTTTCTCATGCACATTTTGGAAAACAGGTGGGATAGTAATTTTGCTAGTGCAATGAAAAAATCTTGCATGTTCCATCCTTCCCATATATACTCACTTCAGCAATTCTCCTATCAATCTCTCAGCATGGCCAAACAATCATAGATCTAATTTACTTACCTTTTCAATCACATTCTCTTTCACATCATATTTCTCTAGTACTTGTTCATTTCTCATACAGTCTCTCCTCATTANTTTAAAAATCTGCAATTTAATTTTTTTTTTTTTTTTTTAATGTCTTAACTGTTTTTCTGTTATCTACATTATATTAACTTTATATCTTTTCTCATGCACATTTTGGAAAACAGGTGGGATAGTAATTTTGCTAGTGCAATGAAAAAATCTTGCATGTTGTCTATGTGAAACTATCTTTCTGTGCACTGCAAAATGTTGCTCTCTCTCTCTCTCTCTCTGTTCCTCTTTCCCTCATCTTTCCCCTCTCTCTCTCTCTCTATCTCTATCTACAGTTTCATTTGTGGTATGTTGTTGTTACTTTGTTCATTATTGCATGCTTTTTTTTTGTTGTGGAACATGTTTATGTTTAGCTGTGGCTTATGTGAAATGAAGTTTTTTTGGTTTCAATGTTTTCCTTTTTCTTTAAGAGTTGCTGTTTTTGCACAAAAAATGCATGAAATTCAGCTTCAATTTCTATATATATATGTGTATATATTATTTGTTAAGTTTAAATTATTAAATCAATTTTAACAATAATATTGTTGTTATTAATTATAATAATAATAATTTTTAGTATCTAGTGATATATTAGTGATGAACAAGAAACAATATAGGAATGTTAAACTGATTAAAGGAACCAAAATTTTATTAGATTAATCGTTTTTCTTGACTCTTTTGTTCTGTCATTGGGTCACTAGAACATTCAAATCAGAAAAATAAAATAAGGACATCAATAAAGTTCTGTCGAATGCTTAAGAGTAAATTCAAACAAGAAAAAATCTGTAAAAACAAGTAGCTTGTTTTTTAAGTGCTTTTATTTAACTTGCTTTATATAATCTTTAACTCAAATGTCATCCATTTCTAATTAAGATAGAAGGCTGAAATTTTGAGGGCACCTAATTCTGATGAAAATGAATTTTAATGCTGTTTTAGGGTATGTGGCTGTGGGGTGAGGCCACTCTCACTCAGAAATTCAATAAACATAACTAAATGTAGAATTTAGTCATGGTGTGTGGGTGTAAATGCAATGAAATGATGTATATGGTGGAGATTTGTTCCCTCACTCCCAATATCACCCACCCGCAATCTTGAAAAACATGACCAAATAAAAGTATTTTTTTATTTTTAATTTTTTAAAAATATATTAAAATTATTTCTTCTTCTTTTTAGAGTTGATTTCACATTCAAATTTCNGTCTCTTTTTTTGAAGAAAAACAAGCGTCTGGGTTGTTTTAAAAGCGACTTCTGTGGCTGCTTTGAAATGGGTAATAATGGTTCCATTTCGATCGCTTCCTCTTTTTCCACATTTTTATTCGAATAAATATCTGAGCTGCTGAGATATTCAGGAATGGGAGTTTCTTCTAACTCCACTTTCTCAAATTTTTGTTTTGCCTCGTAATCTTCACATAATGTCGGTTCTGTGATATTCGTTGAGAAAATTTTTTTAGTATGAGATTCCATATCAAATTTATTGGCGTAACGAAAAGAGTTATCGTTATTGAGACTTGAAACCATCAATTTGTTCATCGAAATAGGTCTATCTGAGATAGCCGAAGTTTCAAATTCTAACCTCTTCAATGTTTCTTGTATTTCTGCCGATGTAACTTTGCACATCCACATTTCTAATTGCAGTTTACAATATTTAATAAATTCTATTATGATGTATACCAAGATCCATATTGTTAACAGTACCGTCACAATTACAATGTAAAATAATATATAATTGTGGATGTTATCCGTTTGTAGTAGGGGATGTTGTTGACGTTTAATGGATTGTCGCTCGCTATTATAATTTATTGTGTTGTTAGTACCGTTTACAGTACGAAAATTTACATCGGCATGCTTTTGATTTCTTGCTTTCTTTCTATTTATTCTGACAGACTTGTGCTCCGAGTAAACTTTCTGTCGACGGTTTATGTAGTTCTTTAGTAAATCATCAATTGATGGAGTGACTTTAATAAAAGGAACTTCTTTTTCAATTTTTAAAATTTTCTCTTGCTTTTTTATATTGCTTGGCAATTTGAGTTCTTTCGTAATTGTATTAAATTTGTTGTCATTTGGAGCATACAATTGGAGAAGAAAGTCCTTTTTGAAGAAAAATTTGGACAAGACCTTGTTTTTTCTGTTTTGTTCGGTCGTTATACTTTGTTCGGATTAGAAAANCGTAATTGTATTAAATTTGTTGTCATTTGGAGCATACAATTGGAGAAGAAAGTCCTTTTTGAAGAAAAATTTGGACAAGACCTTGTTTTTTCTGTTTTGTTCGGTCGTTATACTTTGTTCGGATTAGAAAACCTGATTCTGTTTATTGGAACCTTTGTTTTCTTTCTGTAGTTCTGATCGAACCGGCATTTTTCCATGTTCCGGTTCGTTTGCTGGGTATAATTTGACATGTCCGGTAAGAAATAGCTTCCTTGCATCTATTCCAAGAACTATGTAAATTAGCATAAAAATAATGAAATTCTTCATTTCTTCGCAATAAATCGCACACTTTCGCATTGAAATTGTTTCAACAAATCAACTCTCAACAATCACCAAAATTGTATTGTTGGCATGTGAAATATTTTAAATTGTAAAAAAGTATAAAGTTCTTTATATATTAATGATATTATATTTAAGAAAACTGGACAAATTGATACGTAGACTATTCAGTCACTNGTTATAAATGATACTATTTTTAAGTTGACATCACATCAATCAGTTTGTTTTGATTTTCAAATCACATCAATCAGTATCATTCACATAATGTTGTGGCACATCATGAGAATGAAACTGATTACAAATTATTGTACATTTTTATTACATTTGTAAAATTTTAGTAAAGAATGGATGGATTTCTAATCGATAACTTTAAAAATGATTTATCAGAAAGGTAAATCATTTAAAAAATTTTTTAGTTTTGCCAAACTTGTGATGCCCTCTTAGTACTAGTAGTGCAAAAAGACTTTAAAAAAAACTATAGTATAAGATGGGAAACAATATTAATTAATTAATTTTGAAAAGTTGATTGTAATATAAAACTAGTTATATTTTGTTAAGTGAAAAAAAAATTATTCCTTGCAATAAAAAAAACAAAATATGAGACATTCAGAGTTCAAGCAGAAAAATATTTTATAAATTTAATTATAATGTAGTAAGATTAAAGTAATACTAGTAATACAGGGTGTTCTCTTTGAAGTCCCTAGTTTTAAACTGTCCTGTAAAATAATCCATTTGTTGAGATGTGAATAAAATGGTACAAAAGACATGAGATCCTCTCATTCAAGAATTGCAGATTTTATTAACAGTGTGACTTCTAACATGCTGGCTCAGATGTGGGTCAAAATAAAGTTCAAACCAGAAAATGTACTTGTCACATCAAGAGCATATGTGGAAATGTACTGATTTAATGTAGTAAATAACCTTTTCAGATTAACTTTCTATTACCATTGTCTACAGCACTGTATTTCAACCAGCGTGCTGCAAAAATTTTTGAAGATTGTTAAATAAATTTTCAAAAGAAACCAAAGAACAATAAGTGTACATGTCAAAATTAAAACTTTTTAAATTGATCATACGAGGTTTTTATTGTTATAATAAATAAACGTATAGGCTACATAATGTAGTAAAGATTATATATCCATAAGCAAAATTACATAAGCATAACACTGAGTTATTTCATTTAAAATAAAATTTTCTTTAAATCAAAAATGTATCTGTAATTGTCTATATTTAGTTCAAATTATTTTAACTTAGAAATACAGAATATTGGGCAGGTTTTTAAAGGCAGTTATGATGCCACTTATAAATGCAAATCAAGACTTAATGTTAATTGCTTCTCTTATGTAAATGAAAATTATTAATTTAAATAACTATTCACATTTCTTCATTCTGTAACATTTTTATAGTTTTACAGGCAAAGTTGTGGGACTGGAATAACTCTCATCTTACTACCAAGCTGCCATATTTACTTTAAACAGTGAAATGGAAAAGTGACCATAAAATACCTATTGTAACCTGCTGCTATTTTAAGGGACAACAATACTGTTTTATTTAATTTACAAAAAATATAGATAAAAAGAATTAGGTTAAGTGACAAGTAATATTGTGATAGAATGTTTACAGACACAATTTTAAATCGTGATTTTTTTCGTGGAAATTTAACTACAGGTTCAAGTATGCCGTGAGATAAAATAGGTTGAAAAACACTGGTCTACAGTACTATACTCGCGTTTCTTTTCCCAAAATTAATTCACAAAGCTAGGAATACTCAATAGAAGAATACTCTGTATTTTGCAATCTTTTAAAGTTGTTTACTTATGTCTCTTTCTAATATATGTTCTATATAACATATTTTAAAACAATAAAACATATATATTTTTAGAAATTTAAAAAATGGCTTAATAAAATTACTTTATTTTTCAGGTAATGTTGGAAATGCATTTTCAATTGATCCAACTTTTGGTGTTGTTTCAGTCACTCAAGAGCTTAATAAAAATGTTATGTCAGAATATTTTCTTGTCATTAGAGCAACAGATCATGGAACGCCAACATTGAATAGTACTGTCACAGTTCATATTATTGTAACAATATCAAATAATGCTCCACCAAAATTTTCACAAAGAGAATACTCTGTCGAATTATATGAGAATGAAAAAATAGGTACTTCAGTTTTATCTGTTATGGCTACGAGTCGTTCTTCAATACATTATGAAATTGTAGATGGAAATTTGGAAGACAGTTTTGTCATAAATCCAACATCTAGTATAATCCAAACCGATAAAATTCTTGATTATGAAAACATTAAGTTTTATAATTTGACTGTTTGTGCCACTAATATGGTTGGTGTAAATAGCACAGTTAATGTTTTAGTTCATATATTGGATAGAAATGATAATTCACCAGTATTTCAGCATTCAACTTATTATGGTTGGGTAAATGAAGCATCACCGTCTGGTGTGATCATTCTAAACAATATGAGTCGTCCATTGGTCGTGTTGGCAAGTGATAAAGATCTCGGACTTAATGCAGTTCTGTCTTATGAAATTGTTGAAAAGACTGCACAATCTTATTTTAAAATTGATCCAAGTACGGGTGCTTTAAATACAGTCAGATCTTTAGATTATGAACATATTCCTAAGTTTTACTTCACAGTTAATGTAAAAGATATGGGAAAACCGCAACTAAGTTCTGAGGTGCCTGCTGAAGTTTTCATAACAGTAATAGATATAAATGATTGTGCTCCAAAATTTGAACAATCTTTATATCCAGTGACATTATTTCTTCCTTCTCATCGTGGTGTATCTGTTGTAAAAGTGAAGGCAATCGATGAAGATACAAGTGACTCAAATATTTCGTACAGTATTGTTTCTGGAAATGTCGGAAATAAATTTGTTATAAATTCAAAATCAGGAGAAATATTTGTTAGCAATCCTAACAAATTACATGATAAATATAATTTAGTTATTTCAGCTAGTGATGGAGTTTTTGAAGCCGCAACAAAAGTTGCCGTGAAGGTACGACAGACTAGCAGCAGTGGCCTTAAATTTCAGCAGAATGTTTACGAGGCTAAAATTCCGGAAAATTCTACTGATATCATGACAATTGCTGTCATTACTGTTTTGGGTACTGCATTAAATGAACACTTATCGTTCCAAATATTAAATCCTGGAGAACATTTTACTATAGGTCTTACTTCTGGTGTTGTTAAAACTACCGGAAAACCTTTTGATAGGGAAACACAACGAGATTATACTTTGGTAGTCGAAGTAAAGAGCGATTCATCAGAAACTTTACAAGTCGGACATGTTTTGGTTGAAGTTTATATTTCGGATATTAATGATAATGCTCCAATTTTTGTAGGCTTGCCATATTATTCAGTGCTACCTATTGAAGCAACACCAGGCTATGTAATCCGTCAGGTATATTTTTACAGAATATAATATAAATTTGTTTAAAGTTTATCTTATATAGTATTAAATATTTAAATTGCTTTTACAGGTACAGGCAATAGATTTGGATGATGGCGTCAATGGATACGTCCACTACAGTCTGACCAAAGGAGATGCAACATTATTCTCTGTAAACAGACAAACGGGAGAAATTATCTTACTAAAATCGGTATCTAATCAGAAATTGGAGTATGAATTAACTGTTACAGCAACAGATGGAGGTAATTTATAGTTTGAATTATATATTTATAAATTATTGTTTTAAAAACTGATCAGAAATATAATTTTCACAAATACTATTTATATAGGTAGTCCTGCTCTTCATAGCACAATTGTTGTACCAATTAAAGTTATCAACCGAGATATGCCAACATTTCCTCAACAATTTTATAATGTATCTGTTTCTGAGAGTTTAGCTGCTCATGCACCAATATTAACTATACAGGCAGAAAGTCCTCAAGGAAGGCAGTTGATATATAGTATAGTGAAAGGCAATGACCATGAAGAATTTGGTGTAGATTTTACTACAGGTAGAAATAATAAATGTATCAATACAACTGAAAATTTTCATTTAATATTTCACAATTGATTAGTATTATTATGTTATATACTTTATAGATTATAATTTATCTCTAGAATTTCAAATTTAAGAATTTTAAAATCAGATTTTCAGTAGGATTATATATGCAAGTATTTTTATAACAGAGTAAAGGAAAAAATAAATTAACATTTATATTTTAAAAATATAATATATTTAGTAAACAGATTTTCTAACAGTAAACATTTATCAATAGATTAAAACAAATTATGAAAGATTCCTAATTTTCTTTAATCAGAAAATTATCTTATCATAGAACTTCCACATATTTCATACAATTGATAGCAATAAGTTTCTTCTTTTATTCTATTTTTTAATATTTATATTATGAAATGTTATTATATTGTTATCTAGTATTGGAATTTCCTTGTTTATCAGATTTTATCAAGAATTGTTCTTTGAAAGAAATACAATTCAAGCCACAGTGGTATAAAGGATTGTTCTTAATTAAATTTAACTAATTTAAAATTAAAATTCTAATTATTGTAGCATTCAATCTGGTAACAATTTCACTATTTTGTAATGAGCATGAGTAAATTAATAAGCTAAGTTTCACTTATATTCATGCTAGCATATTCAAGAAAAATTTATTTTCCAGTAAGACAATATATACAAAAGCCCCTCATTATATTGCACATTAGACAAAACAAATGAGTGAAATATCGGATGGCATGATACAATCAATGCGTCTATTCGTTATAGGCTATATATCAAACGACTGCCATATTAAATCAGGTTAGTTCTCTGAAATTATTTTAAATTAATTTCTAAATAATCATTAATGGATAACACACTTTTATACTTGAAGACAAAAAAGACACGTTATATTCAGATGAGTGATATAATGAGGGGCTACTGCATATATGTGTGTGTATTTTCTAGTTTGTGACATTGACTTTAGAAGATTGCTTGAACTATCTGAAAATTTTTCGTAGTGACTCTCACTTTTTAAATTTTTGACTTTTTGAAACTGTTTATTACAGTTATAAATAGGCATATATCACAAGAATATAAAACTTATATAGATGTTTTAACAATCTATTCTTGAAATCTTAATATTGTTTTTCACCAATACAAACATTAATTTATTTAACAAGTTTCTAAAGAATGTGGAAAGTTACTTAAATCTATCTGGGACAAAATAGACATTTTTTACAGAAATCAAACTTGCTCTTATATATAAATAAATTATATTTTGAAATACAAAAACATTATTTCTCAACATCTTACAGCTGATTCTTGGAACATTTTTAAAGCCTTTAACTTTGACAACAAACATGAATAAACAAAACAAATTTTTCAAATAAATTATAATTTTTTTTGTTATTTATTCTTTTCTGTTCTGTTTTTTCCAATTTGAAAAAGTTTAAAGTTTTCAAAAACTATAAATACTAATCATTAATTTAAATCAGTTTTTAACTTAACGATGCACACATTCATTTATTTTCAAAGAATTTGTTTTTAAAAAAGAATGAAAATACATAAAAAGTAACATTGACATTTATCAATACATTGTTGAAGACTTAAAGACTGTTAAGTGCTCATTTATTTAGTATTTAAATTAAACAAAATTATATTTTGTACTTGTTATTTTTCTTGTGGATGCTTTAAATGGAGGGATAGAATCAGGTAGCATTTACATACATTCCTACATATCATCATGCTTGTGATCCAAACAGGGTGAGCAGCAGACAAAAGAAGACTGTAATCCTACAAATTATTTATTTATTCAGCAACTCTCTCCACATATTCCTGTCCAGATACACTCATTCTTCTTCTAGCACACTTTCTCACTTTCTTTTTCTGACTTAACACCACACATTTTTTCAAATACTCATCCACTTGTTCTAATCGAAACTTTCTCAGTCCTCCCTTGCCATCCATCCTTCCCATATATACTCACTTCAGCAATTCTCCTATCAATCTCTCAGCATGGCCAAACAATCATAGATGTAATTTACTTACCTTTTCAATCACATTCTCTTTCACATCATATTTTTCTAGTACTTGTTCATTTCTCATACAGTCTCTCCTCATTATACCACATAGTCCTCTCAAATATCTCATCTTATATGCAGTAATGTGACTTCTGTAACTCTTCAGCCATACCCAAGATTTACTGCCAAACACAGGCACCACAACACTGCGATACACAGTCATTCATGTCTCTTTAGACATCCTTTTACCTGTTTAACTAACAAAGGTAAATCAACAATTGATTTTGCTATACATTTAGAAAAAGTATTAGATTACTGTGTACAGTTCAAGGTCATCAATGATGTATTGGACCACTTTCCTACACTATTGGTTATACAAGCCAGCTAAAGCAATGAGCTGAAAACATATTTATGTGTATGTTTTTAGCTTCAGGTGGTTTTATATATTACAGAGTATTAATGCTTATGTGCATTAATACTCTGTAATATATAAAACCACCTGAAGAATTGAAAGGAATTGAAATGCATGTTGCTATTAATAATGTAAAAGAAATTTCTGTCTCAAGCCTCAGGTTATGACTGGAGTTAGAACGAACCTTTGTAAGTTCATTCTAATTCCATTCATAACTCAGGCTTGAGACAGGAATTAGAATGAACTCAAGTCATAACTTTAAGCTTGAGACTTTAGAATGTTTTCTTTTGATCACTTTGAACTGTTAACTATTTTACATCATGCAATCTGAAAATTCTTACTTCTTATTCAAAACAGGTGCAACAATTATCATTATTATTTTATTGGCTATTTATCTAGTCAAAAAAACAAATATATCTTTATTGTTCTACATGCATTACTTGGTATTATCTTGTCCTTTATCTATGAAACAGGTTTCATGTTTTAATTTAATCAATCATTTAAAAGGAACATCACAATATGATACGATAATAAAATAAATCATAAAATCACTTCTACAATCAAATCTTTTGAGTCTAAACTTCTAATTTAAAATATACATTATTTTCTGTCCAAATCTTTTTTGTTTGTATTGTTGTTCAGATATTCGAGTAATTGTTTCATACAGTAATATAAATTAGTTTAAATCTATTTTATTCTTTAATAAGTATGCTTATTTTAGAATATATATTCTATGCTTCATCTGAGAGAGAGTGAGCCAATTTCTTAATGTTTAAATATGAAATAAATAGCAAAATTTGTAGTAATCAATAGTTTACATTAAGGGAAAAGATATGTGAATAATCAACAATGAAAATCAGATTTTTTGGGATGACAATTTTATATTTTGTGAAGGTATTAAAATTCTTGAATTTAACAATATGAATATTTTAAGAGATATTCTATTTTATTATAATAATATTATATTTTTTGTGAAAAAAATTTTTATACATACCATNTTCACTTTTTTTGGTTCAGGGGATCTCAAAACGTGGATATATACAAAAAACTCGGTGGGTTAAATTTCACACAATACTTTCTCTTGTGATGTCACGAGAATGATTAAAGAGAACACGTCCATATGCAAATGATAGTGTTCTCTTGATCATTGGATAATTTACCTTTTTACGTCATCTTTATAGTGAATAACTAGATAAAATGAAAACAAAGTAAAGATATCTATTTCATTTTTGTGGTTTAACGTCACGCCATCTGTTTTCTGATATGTTAACTATTATCGTTTTAAAAATATGTTTAGGTAAATAATCGAAAACGATAAGAAACATTACGAACATTTGTCGTGGAGAAGAATATTTGAAAACGAATCAATAAAAATTAAAAAATGCCGAATTCGTGCGAAAAAGTCACAATTCAATACAGTCGACCCCCTGTAACACAGTAGATACATTCCGAGTTTTATGAATCCAGCTTTTACGAGTCCAACCAATCACAGCCCAGTACGTATGCAGTTTACGGACTACGGCTGTTTGAAAGGTTTATTCCATAAAATTAATCGATTCTAGACAAATTCGACTTAACATTTCCAAAATACGTATAATTTTTTGGGAATAATCCATATAAACTATGCTATAAACAAAAAATTGTAGATTACTTACCGAGTGTGCACCGTTCGACTACGCCGTTGCTTAAGCTTGTTTTCGTCGTGGAGATTGTCATCGAATGGCGCTCGCGTGCTTCCTGATAAATTATTTTTTTTGCGAAAAATTCACTGAACTTCAGAGACATCATTAATATAAAATGGACGTTAAATCATATGGTATTTTATGGACGTTAAATGATAAATGGTTTTTAGTAAGTCCGCTGCTCGTTTAAACTCAACGCTTTGTGCAATACCTGCTATTGGTCTAGGTTCGACCAATCCTGTCGCGACACGAGTCGACGATGACGTTTTACCGAATTATAGGAGTTTTTTAGCATGTTTGTGCGAATACTGTCGCAATTCAGGGGCGTGCCGTGACATTTGATGATAGGGAAGCTGTGTTTCTGTAAGAAGCCGACATCCAGGGGCAATCAGTCAATTGCGCGTCAGTGACGTTCTAGGGTCCATTCGTATCGTTTATTCGATAAGCCAGTAAAAACCGTAGACTTCTGTAAATGCATTTTTAATATCACAATTATATTCCGAATCGCTAGCCACGATATAAGGGCTACAATTAAAAATAAAATAATAAAAACTTACTCGGTGAAATAAAATATGTGGTGGATGTNAGATATCAAAGAATTAAGAATAATAATAAAATTAAATATATTCTCTTTAATTGTAGGTGTATTGTTCGTTGTTGAAGAATTGGATTATGAAAAAGTTCAAAACTACCAGCTCACATTACAAGCCACAGATTCAGTAACTGGTGCATTTGCTGACGTAATTATTAATATAAATGTCGAAGATGCTAACGATAATCCACCTATGTTTTCTCAATTATCTTACGAAGCAAGTGTTTCAGAAGCAGCATCGTTTGGGACTAAAATTTTAAAAGTAGAAGCAACTGACAGAGATAAGGGAAATAATCAAAAAATTCAGTATCAGTTATTAGGAAATGCTTCAGCGTACTTTCATATTGAACCATCAGATGGAATTATATTTATTAAACAGTCTTTAGATCATGAGATACAGTCTCAACATCATTTTGTTATCGTTGCTGTTGATGGAGGATCACCCTCACTTAGTTCTACAGCAAATGTTTGGGTAAATGTTTTAGACATGAATGATAATCCTCCTCAGTTTAGTTATCCAACTTACAGTTGTATAATCAATGAACGTGCTCAGAGAGGTCAATTCGTTACAATTGTTAATGCTATGGATCCAGATATATCTGACAGATGGAAGTTAATGTATTCAATTGTAGGTGGAAATGAACTTCAAGCATTTACTATTAACAACAAATCAGGTAAATTAAATATTTTGAAAGTAATAGAAATAAATAAGCGTAATAAAGATAAATATATAATACTAATTGAAACAAAGTCTCAATCAGTACTAAGTGCAGGGTATAATTGATGATCAAACTGACCTATTATACTGATACAAAAGGTCAGTTTGGTCATCAGTTATACATTAGTTCCAGCTTTAAAGAATAATTTTTTATAAGTACAGGGTACTAAAAAGTTACTGTGCAGTGAGAAATTTGTCATGACATTGAAATTATATGTATAACATTGTATATGAGACTTGTAAGTTGTATGCCCTGCATTTCCACTTTGCAGTAGATGGTGTTACTGTACTGTGGGGGCTTGAGGGCTGTCAAAAATTGGATTATGGGAATTTAGGATAGGACCCTCTCACCAGGTGTGTGTTGTCAGACACACCTCTTGATTTAGACGAGGAAAAAAAAAAAGGTAGATAGGTAAAGCATGAGAGTAAGAGTCACTCCTAAGTCCAGGAATGAGCCTCTCAGAAGGATGAATGCAAAGTCAAGTAAACTAATTTAAGAATAAAAGGGAAAATTTATTATGGAAAAATGAAACAACATTTGAACTTAGTTTAAATTAATAGTAAGTACAAAATCTGTTTTAGGAAGTTAGCCTATTTCTATTTATAAAATGGGAGGTATCTGAACTTTGTGACTCACAATATACCAGGAAAAGAGTTGTCTTCTTTCTAGAAGTTGGCTTCCTTTCTGGACGCTTGTTTGATTTTCTTCTTTCTGCTTTCATTTCCTTTCATTTTCCCTCACTTTCTTTCCCTTTTTTTCTTTATATGCTTTTTGTCTTATTTCTACTTCACTAAGTCACTAAGTCTCTGATTTTCATCATTTTTTTTTATTTTATTACTTGTTTTGACCAATCATGAGTTTGTTCTGGAGAAAGTTGAAGTAATTTGTGATAAGCATGATTGGTCACCCTTTAGTCCTTCTTCTCTCTTGTCTATAAAATTATATGCATCCACATGACATGGATAGAGTAGTGTAGTGTGGTATTGTTTGTATTGAAATGAGAAATGCACGAGGTATAATTTTCAAAAAATGCAAATAAAACTTTATTTCGTATTTTGAACAAAAATTTAGCAGGTTCCAACTCCAAGACAAGTTCCTTGTAACTCCCGTTACTCATGATACAATTATATACAGAACCTCGTGGTATAAAACTGGCTCTGTCACAAACCTTATGTCCCAGAAATAACAAATGTAACCATTTTGAATTTTACAAGTGTAGGTCATGTCCTTAAGCTCATCTTAACCTACTTATGGCTAAAATAATATTATATATGTACAGATAGAGGAAGGAAGAAGAAGAGATCTAGGACAGGGGTACCCAATTGTCTTGAATGTTCCCTTTGCACATTAGTTGGATTCAACTTTCTTTGTCTCAGTTAATGCTCTCTCTCTCTGAACTTCTCTATGATTTTGGGATGTTCTCTCTGAAAACACCTCAAAGACACCTCTGACTTCTCTATGTGTTCCTAACTTGAGCACCACTTACTCACACTCTTTTTGTCTGCCAAAAATGACCAAGAGTTCCTTCTCAACACATCTGATATCCTCAGTGTCTACCCAAAAAGTGCTTAACTCGCCCCCATTTTCCCTTTAGGGCGTTTCCTCCTTCTATTGTTCTTACTGCCCCACTCTATTGGGAAAGGGTTCCATCCAAATTTCATGGAAAATGAAACAAAAAAAAAGCAAGAATAAAGGAAAATGAAACAAAAGAAAAGCAAGAATAAAGGAAAATGAAACAAAAGAAAAGCAAGAATAAAGGAAAGTGAAAGAATGAACAGAAAATATGATAAAATTCTATATGCTATACAAATGATATGGCAAACAGACACAGTGGCATCTGTCATCTAACACTATTGAAAAGGGAGGAAACGATGGTCATCCCCTTCATCTTTTCCTTTGCATGCTGTGAGATTTATAACTATTAATGGATAATTTTATTTTAATTCATTTCTTTGGATTATTTTTAATTGGTATCACTAAAAATTTAAAAAGGGAGGTCTTTAAAATCAGAAAAATAGGTGAAATTCCTTTACAACATTTGTTGATAAACAGAAACAATCCTGGTGTCATATTCACACACAGACATCAATATGTGGGTGCAAAGGGCATCCTATCTTGTAGTTAACAATTATTTGTTGCATAATCAGACGAAATAAGAAAAAGGATATANAAAAAATTGCTTGTTTTTACTGTTAAATATGTTATTATAAATAAACAGTAAAACATTTTAGTGGCGGATTAAACTTTCAAAAATATTATTCCGTCCAACATGTTCCTCAAATAAAATTTAATGTATACCCCCAAAATTAAGCTGTCTGCAACTCTAATTATATATTCTGAAAAAATTGCTTGTTTTTACTGTTAAATATGTTATTATAAATAAAAAGTAAAACATTTTAGTCGCGGATTAAACTTTCAAAAATATTATTCCGTCCAACATGTTCTTCTGGTAGAGTTTAAGACCAGCTTCTGAGATTGCATGAAAATAGTGTGATAAAAATAATATTACATTAATTAAATTAAATATACTGTTTTCAACATAATTTATTGCGTTAATGTGGTCATAAGTCGTGGTAAATTTACGTTAGGTTCCAAGTAATGCTGAAATTTCATTGATTAATCAAAAAACTTCAAACATTTCCAAAATGATAATTCAAATTAAAAATTAAAGGCTACATTTTGAGGAAAATTTTATATATATTACACCATAAAATCTTTAGAATTAGAAAATACACTAAGACATAAAATTATATTATATTTTAAAATGCTAAAGCAATAATTCCACGAATAAATTTAGTTAAGTTAAATTTATAAAGTTTCTTTACAAAATTATAGAGAAAAAATAACAATAAAAGTTTATAAAATATTTAATTTATAATAATAAAAGCTAATATAAAAGTGTTACTGAAGTGATTAAACAGTTAAATATATCAAACCAAAATTAAATATTAAATTACAGATAAATTTTAAACCGTTTAAAATAAATTTAGTATGAAGTAAATTTGTTTAAATAAGCGCTAAATTCTGAATAATTTTAATGGCATGATCTATTAAAATATTAAAAACTAATTTAATAATTAATATTTGGAAATTTGAATTTAGGTCACGTGGAGATTGTTGGTCTGTTATTGGATAAATACAAGGATGTATTATTAATAGATCAAAGGAACGTTTTTGGAATGACAGCCTTGATGAAAGCAGCTCTACAAGGAAAAACAAAATGTGTAAAGCTTTTGCTTTCTGCAGGTTAAATAATTTGATTTACTATTAGATTTTAAACTAATTATTTTCAAAGAAATTTTTTAACTTAATAATAGAAACACTTAAATATAATTTTTTATAAACACGATTAAAATAAAATTTAAATAATTTAATATTTGAAACTTTTATATATTTTAAAATTTCATTTTGATGAATATTGAATAATTAAGTAAATTAATAATATTTTATATATCCATTAATTATTGCAGGTTAAAAAAGGGAAAGTTAAAATTCACTGTCGTTTATCCTTTATTATACAGTATTTTAATTGATAAAAATAGTGTTAAATTTAATCGATAGATGGCGACAAAAGCTAACATTTATTATTTAGTGACTACCGCATTATTCTAACAAGTTTTGATGCTTAATTAATAGCTTCAAAAGAATTTTAACAAGAAAAATAAGTGTTGTTAAATAGTACAGTATTCAGTACATTTTAAATAATACGTAACTAGCAACAAATATAAAATTATATTAATGAAGTTTTTAATGAATGTTTATACTTTTAATATTAAGGGTTTTGGTAGCTTATATTTTATTGCGTTTTACAGTTTAAGCACCAAAGTTTACATTATAATTTAGAAAAGAGGTATAATGGACAACTTGTTACTTAACATAGAGTCTTAAGCTAAGATAGAAAATACAGTATATTAGAATTTACTAATAATAATTGTGATATTTATTATATGTATTTGTTTATTTAGAAAAAGCTTGTTACAAGTTGATCATACATTTATTATTTTGTCATAATTATCAGATAAAACAGATAGTTCGATCATTCAAGTATTGTTTTCGAATGAATTTCGTCAGCCAGGTATTTAATTCGTAATAAAAGGAATATTAAGAATTTGGCTAGTCCATCGTTTAGCCATTAAAAAGATTCGCGTTCGAATCCTTATCATCATATTTTATCATGGATGATGTCGGCTTGAGGCATGGTTTCTTATTCATCATCATCCGTGCTAGTCGATTCCATTATGCTTGCAATGTGACCACTATAATATGCTGGTATCTCGCATTAACACAATTCAAAATTAAATACAGTAGTATCAAATTGTAAAATAATTCTGTCACGTAAACCTTACTTAATATGATATTCTGCATAAGATCTATAGTCAAAATTTTATGCTTCTGTCAAAACGATTGTATACAATGGAATAGTTGTAATTCGAACTGTAGACAATGTGAAAAATTTCGAATTGTTAAAATTTGATTACGGTATTTATTTTGAATATTAAAATAGACTTCTTTGTCTTTTTTCCAGCATTTGGCAGTAGTCTATATTCCTTGGGAATATCGTATTTTGTTTTTATTTTTTTCTACTCCTTTAATCGCTTTAACTTGTTTAGCTAAAGATAAATTTATGCAGTTCTACGCTTAGGCATCGTAAAAACGTAGCTAAACAACTACACTATGTAAACTCACGTCTGTAAAATTTTGAAACACGTGACAACTTTGCTCACAGTTTCATCCCAGGAGTTTACAGAACCCGTGCATTTAGGGGAATTCCCGGAAAACATTCGTGCTATAAATCAGTTGACTACATGCTAGTTTCTATTTTCTACTTTCATTTTAAAGTATACACTGGCTCCGAATTATCTAAATTTATACTAAAAACATTCGAATTATATATATATTTTTATCAATTTAAATGCAAAAAAAAAAATAATAACAACGGATTCGAATTAATTAAATTCAAATTAATCAGATTCGACTGGATTAAAGCAATTAATAGAAACATTTTATTTAAACCATTATTTCCATAATTATTGATTTAGGCAAAAGGTAATATTTTTATCAATCACATCACAAATATGAATTCAGAAGATATGATTTAAATATTTAAATAAATAATATTAAATCGACAGAAACTTCTTAATCTAGATAACGTTAATATAGAATTAATGGGTATTTTTTAATAAAACTTCATAAAAACAGGATGAAAATCTTATATATTTGAATGTATTTAAACTTTCATAAATCGACATCACCAGGTATTTATTTAACTTTAAACTTTAGTCTCTTTTTTTCAGTCCTTTTTTTATGAATTTTAAACAAAATTGCATCAAATAATTTTTATTTGAAATTAAAATAATCATGCTGTTACCGAGAAAGAAGAGAATCTGGACACGAAAAAACCAAAACGAATCTTAGGGAGCGGGCGAGTTTTACTTCTTGTAATGAAATTAAAAACAATATATAAGTTTCGTTGCTTTAATAATTACTTAAAACTAACTTAAACAACATAAAAATGCAGAAAAAAATTTAAAAAATAATTGTGAAAAGATTAAAATATAAAATTTAACAAAAGAATGGAGTTCTTGTTAGTAATAAAACTTTTGAANTTGAACTGGAAAAATTTCTGTCTTTATTACATCTAATACAGTATTTCGAAAAAATCAGTCCCCACTGTACTCGTCTATGGATTGGTTCGGTTAAGCTTTTGTTTAAGTAATATTTCGGCTCTTTCATCAGGGTTTTGTTTACGTCCCCAATTCCCTTATCGCTTAATTATTTAACTATTTCTTAAGTAGAAATAAGTCAAAATCAGTTACTTTGTACTCGAATATTTGTAGTCTCGGGAAAAAGTGGAAAGACAAATTTTTATGACAAACGGATACATTAATCGTAAATTTAAGGAAAATAAATTCTAGAGCTTTTTCTGTACCTCGTGCATCTCTCATTCATTAAATTTAGTTGTAAATGACGCTGTCGAAGTAACGTTTAATTTTTTAACATTATACAAGAATTGTACGCGTTTTTTTCTACATTTCCTTAAAGATGGGACATACAAATCATAATATCACTAGTTTAACATTGAAATCCGTAAATAATATAAAATCGGAGAGCGGAATAAATATATCAAATATTTTAATGGATTTTTTAGAATTCCTGCCAACTATACAGAACTATCGTAAAAACATACCAGTAAATTCTTATCGATTGGGTTCAGTTATAAATCTACTCGTTATTCACGTAATCGGCCAAATATCTAGCGGGCTGGCGGCTAACAGCCCAGAACCGGCACCCGGATAGAATTGGAAGCGTTATATGTGTAAGCATTAACCCAAGGTGGTAGGCTTCCACCAGTAAACCGGGTGAGGTTGGTGCTCTGTAAAGCGCATGCGCAAACCTGGGTTTTTGGAATCTGACAATACAGAGATTCCACTCCGCCACTAACATTCGTATATACAATAGCAATTTTTTTTTTCACGTGTAGTATAGAAATTTGTAATAAGATACGTAATGCGGTTATAATAAAATATTGTGCCGTTATTTTCATATAATTGAAATTAACATGTATTTATTTTTTATAAAATACAAGGGAAGCGGCGCTTCCACCGCTTCTAATGACGGCACGCCACTGTCGCAATTTTTTTCGCCGTGATATAGGAATTCGAACTATAAGAACCCGTGTTATAGGGGGTCGACTGTATATAGTAAGAAG